GCGCGCCTGAATGTTAGGATCTCGATAACCAGCGCTATGTTGGGAACAGCTTCTCGATCGACCAAGGTTTGCATTGGGGATAAAGTCCGCAAATCCTGGGTCTAGGGCATGGAACTAGGCGTTTCAGCCCAGAGGCCCTAGCCCAGTGTCTTTTCACAGGTCTTGCCGCTTGAATTCCGCTGCAAGCAAGACGCCGAAACCCAACCCTCAACCCTCAAGTTCCACATCTAAGCCCCAAAACCCCACAGAAACCTGTCTACGCCCTCACAGCGTGGAACTCCCCAAACTTGGTTGCGACAGTGAATCCGAGTACATCACGTAGGGGCATGCGTAGGAGTTCTCCTTGAACCTGGGCACATCATGAACTAAGGCTGGGATTGGAGTACAGGGATTGGGGCTTAGGGTTTCGGATAGGGGTTTGGGGGATGTTCCTAACTTGTTCTTCTCTCTCATGGCATCGAGACATTCATTCACAACAAGTCACCGTGCGCTTATACTGCATGAAATATCGAGCATAGCAGTATGGTGGACAACACAACTTTTCCCCTTCTTGGCATCTTACACATTGCCGGTCACAGTTGATATCTTTACAATACTTCTTCATGACCTATGAAAAAGACTCGGAACAGGTTTTGGATTCGGGTCCAGAAGGCCTGTGGGGCCTTCCACCTTCAGGATGTGCTGCACACACCTTGGTTTGCTCACTTGGAACTGGGCTTTATAAGTGCTCAAGCAAAACTTCATCAAGATCTCCTGATGCCTGTACATGCTGTGCCATTGCCGAAGGCCCAGCTGGCACAACAATCAATTTGGGGGGGGCGGGCCCACCAAGGAAAAGATGATAAAGCACGTCCACCAAATTATGCCGCTCAGGTAGCAGCACTCGTTGCATGGGCGCACTTCTGCAGACGTAGACTCCCGTCGCTCCACTGGCAGCAGCAGCGGATAAGGCCGCGCGATTGCCAACTCTTGCTTGAACAAGCAGGTGTTGCTGGAAGTGACAAGCTCCGCCGCAGCTGGCCTACCGACTAGCATCTTCGTGTGCTCAATCGCACATTGCGTCAGCCGCTCTGCAGTCCACATCTCGTTGGCCGGCGAACTGTCTACAACCACTCTCTACTATTTTGAACATGCAGGCCTCAAGATGTGTAGAATTGATGGCCAAAGTAAAAGTCACTCTGCGCACGATTTGCAGGACGCTCGGCTGAAACTCTGTCTCGTCGGACCGCTCGGTGTGGGCATATTTCTTTACGTGAGCCACTTCTGATGCCACCTTGTTGAACACAGGTTGGCCGAACCAGAAACCTGGACTGATGCAGCCAGTTCGTGATTCTTTTTCGCATACACTGCCTCAAACTCCTTGGAGCTCTGGATGATTTTGCAGTGCCTGGCGATCTTCTTGTACGGCTGCTGGAGAAACTCCACTTGGACGGCAATCTCAAAGCTTTCCGAACTCATAGCGTGCGATTGCATCGATATTGATGCCCACCGGACGTTGAACCAAAACTGCTGAAGCAAAACCCTGACTTGCAAACCCTGGAATCAGTGCGGGTTGCCCCTCCATGGTGACAACGGCTGACGGCGCAGGTCTCCACTTCTCCACGTGCTTGCGGCAAGTTAACTTACAACGGCATGCCCGATTCGGGATGACAAACCCACCCTGGGAACCACGGATGATGCAATCGGTTGATTACGTACTTGTACACGTAATCGGGAGGAAGGGGGGATTGGCCGTCAGTATATAATCGCCAGTGTGTCGGCTAGTGGAACAATCACCCAAACGGGGGAGTGGCTCTGCCACGCAACTCAGTATCAATGCCTTTCAGGATGCAGTGTAGAGCCTCCGACCATCGAGCTGAAACTTGACATTTGTAAGACTCGCTTCGCTGATGAAATCTGGAAGGTAGGCCATGACCCAAACTTCTGAATCATGTCCTGATGAGGAGGCTCGGACGATGTGGGGTCCATGGTAGCGTCTGTTATTGTCCGAAGTCCTGTGTCTGTTTAAGAACCCGTAGAACCCTAACTTTCTCCACGGAAACGATTCGGGTGGCAACGCACTGACCCATATTTCTGGCCGCTGTCGCTTGTGATGAACATTCTCTGGCACCTATGTACGAAGTTGAACCCAGAAGCCCTATACAGGCTGAACCCCTCGGCCCACAGAGCCCTGAAGCTTGAATCCCAAACTCCACAAGTTCTGCCGACGCTGGACCCAAGCTATATAAAACCTAAGCTCTCGAGAATCCTAAAGTAGAAGCCACAAAGTTGGAACGTCATCTTCCTGGTAGCCATATCCGCCCTTGAAGTCAAGTCCAAGGAAGCCCAGCACTCATCGTCCCTGATCCGTGTTCCAACTTTCTGGGGCTCTGAAGTCCCCCAAAGATAAAGCTAAACCCTAAACCCTGTGCCGCTGAGGAGCAGCAGGGAGGACGGGTGCAGAAAGGCGCGCACTCGTGGAGGCCTCCAGCGCGGCCAGCGCGGCGCCTTCCAGACTTAGAGTCGGGAGTCTGGCTTGCTCGGAGGTTCATGGGTAGTGATAAACGGAGCCATAAGTCCTCCAATATGGGTTACAAGTATAATTAGTTACCCTACTTATAACCCCACTTAGAAAATGCCCATGAACCTGCATGTGCGGGGCTTCCGGACAGTTTTAAATGCGTTTCAACTTTGACAGTCTAGGTGATTGGAGCTTCTGACTTTAGTTGGGGCGCTCAGAGAACTAGGATGGATGCCAAGGCCGCTGCTACTGTAGTAGGGCTTCCGTTGCTTTTTGTCGAGTTCCCCTTTTCGTAGGGTTCTACACAATAACGGCCACTTCTACTTGCAGCATCTGCTCACCATTAAAAAACCTGAGCTCCCAACTGTAAACCGTAAATTCCGCAAATATCAACCCTCAAGACCCTGCACCCTCATCCAAAACTCTGAACGACCGAGCCTGGTCAACTTCCTCCTCCTCTTCCCGGATCCAGTATCGAATCTCCCGGGCGTCGTTGCTCACTTGGATGGACCCGGCCAAGCTGTCCTCGGCTTTGGGCCTTGAGGTCTATGGTTCATCTTTGAGCGCATGGCTTTCTCGGGGCGGATGGGGGCTGAGTTGAGTTTAGGCGTTGAGGAACTTGCATCTCAACTTGCAACAGACTTGCAGCGACCTCTGCAGCCTTCAAGTAGAGCTCTAAGGGTGCGAGTTAATAGGCATCAAGAAGATGGATCCTGAACTAGACTCCCTTTACTGCACGTCTGCTAGGAGCAGTCCGTCGGGCAGGGATCCTAAAACAAAGTTCTCTTGAACATACCTTTGGTAGCAGTAATATAACAGCCGTAACAGTTAGAATACGGTCTTGAGGTATGGTAAACTATCTTTTTATTGAGGAGCACCCAAAACAGCGTTGGCAATACTTAATACTTAAGCCCTTGTCGTACGTTCTGGCAGGGCTGCGACAACAGGAGGAGTCCTGAGTTAAAGCGACCCCTACCTGCCTGAGGCTCAGGCGTCATGCAGGCAAAGGCTAGAAAAAACCTCTTGGTTCCTTTGGCACGCGTAAAGCTTCGTAGAATCCTTATGGAACCCTCTTAGAACTCTCACAGGGCCTGTAGAGGTAAAGGTAGCTCCCCTCAGCTGACGAGCTGCAGCAAACTTCAGCGGCGGCCGCTCCACTTTGGCGACTTGGGGATAAAGCCTCGGTCCACAAATACAAAGCAAACAAAGTGGTTCGGGATAAGGCTGCGGAAAGGGTTCCATGGTGTTTGGAGGTGTCAGCTTTTTGAGGTCTAGTGTTTGGGAAGGTTCGTGGGTCGTATGACATATACCCATGGCTCAAGTGTGACTGGGGACAAGAACAGAACAAGGAACTTACGGAAGGACCTATGACAGAGTTTCGTGCTTTAGATGGCTTAAGTGTCGCTTGCTGTAGGTGTCTCTTTGATTCAGCTCGTAGGTTCTATGTGCGAGCCAGCTTCAAGCCTACAGCTGCTGGTCGGGCATATCTTGCCGGAATCTGCACAAAGAACAGCACGCCCTTCACCCGCGCACAGCCCTGGACAGCATCCAACTTGTGCGAACTGGATTAGCTACGCGCATAGCCAAGGCATGCCGAGACGAAGCCTATTCGTCGGAATCTTACCACCGACGAAAGCTAAGAGATGACTGCAGGCAACTATAATGTCATAGGAAATGAAAACTGCGGCAAGAGGAGTCATCTAGAAGCCTGAGAAATTAGCAATACTGCTCCTTAGGGTTTCTTACATAAACCATAACAGTATACAATGCTCAAAAAATCTTCATCGAATCTTTAAGGCTCCTAAAGTGGGGTCACTCGGAGGACATGATGACAGTCCGACAGCGGCAAACTGAGCTCTCAGACAAGCTGCGGTTAACTAGGCGGCATTAGTAATTAGAACAGGCTTCCTGGAAGGATTGCTGAGGGTTCTATGCTGTAGGGGCCATAATTAACAACTAGAGTCATCGTAGACTTCTCATAAGGAGCCGCAAGGAATACAACTTAGGCTTCTATGCTATTCTGAACAAGAGTTACCTGCTACTGGTATTCCCAAAGGAACACCCCAAGCATGAATTCATCAACAGTCCTAAGAAGCTTGGAGTACGAAAATCCAAACACGAAGCCTGGCGTAAGCAAACCCTAAAAGCCTCAGGGTTGCCTCCTGTACTGCTTGTTAAGTAGCCCCCCAAAGTTTCCAATTCTTCACAAAACCTTCAAAATCCAAAAAAGAAGGGAACGACGCCTCATCTATCAAAAACAACTTGAAATACGTAGGGCCATGGGAACCCCTGAGTTTCAACCTCATCAAACAACTCTTAACTCTCAAAAAAACCCTAAACAGACCTGGGAGTTTCCGAAAACAGGGGACCCTGATATAGCACCCGAAATAGAAAGATCCTTAGTATAAGGACCCCCCCCCCAAATAAGGTACACCTAATTTTTCGGAAGCTCCCACCTGAACCAAAACGAATCCGAGACCCAAAGCTGTGGCCAGGAGGCCCCGCCACCACGGCAGCGCGCACCACCTCGGAACATGGAAGCTTTGCTTTCGTCAGGCAAGAGAGCTTCAGATTTGAAATACCTAAACTGAAAAAGTTTCCTCCTGTTTTCGGGCGCTAAATTAATTCGGGTTCCTGTTTTCTGAACTTACGGCAGAGGGTCTTGGTTTTGTGAAGAGGTTTATGAACATATCAATTAAGGTCTCATGAATGGGTCTCTGTAGCCCCGGCCTCACAACGACATTTCTGAACTTTGACGCAGCCTTTGGGGTTGCTGCGATCAGAAGCAAGCAATGAAGAACTCACAGCAAGACCCCAGCTCTAAACCTGACCATCATCTGAAGGACAAAGCCTGTTCAAGTTTAACCCAGCCGCAAATAGCACACCCCCAAACCCAATAGTCCCAAATTCAATAAGCCCCGACCAAACTAAGTTAAGGACGCCGAATTGTCGGAACCACACGCGCAAAAAACAGTATAAGCCCTTCTCAACCCCTGTAGACCATCGTAGAACCCTAAGCCCGAAGCCCGAACCCATATATAAATCTGAGCTGTCATTTCCAAGCCTTAGAACCCTTCAAATCCTACATCCCTAAATTCCCCATAACCTTGTGAAACCCATATTGCCCGCCCCCGATTGCTGCAACGTAGCGCGCCAGTCTCCGGCGTTACAGTCCGCCTCCGTCTTCTGGAAGCCCAGTGAACGGAGGCCTGGAACAAAGGCCGTACCGAAATTTTTCACCCTGCCAACCTAAACCCTAAACCCTTCACTGTAGGGGCCGAGGGGCCGGATAATATAGGCACTGAAAAACATGAAACCCCGCTCGAACCTGTATAGAAAAGCACTACAAAGGCCCATAAAACCCTGAAGGCACACATAGAACGCTCTTCTGAAGGGAATGGGGGAATGGATTATGGGGACTATCATGGGGATTATACAGGGACCACTATAGGGATCCACTCCCCCATTCCCTACTAAGAACCAGGGAGTCTATTAAATCCTATGACAGCCTGACACAAACGAAGCACTCGAAAACATAGCGCCTCGCAGCAACTGAGCTCGGCTGGCTTCCTTGGTTCTGCGGGTTTTTAGTGGTCTAATATAGGGACCTTAATATTTGAGGCCCATTATATGTACTGAGAATAAATGATGAGGAACCCCCAAAAATAGTATAGGTAATTGTTGAGGCCTCTATATTACCATGCCATACGAATTAGAATGGGGGTTTGCTGCGGCACATTGTAGTTTGAGAACTAGAAAAGGCGTTCGTAAAGGTGTTTTCGCGTATGCCTATATCAAGAACCCCCGAGGAATAGTATTGGTAAAGTGTCTGTTTATTAAGTGAATCAGAATGTTATTGAACAGTGAAGAAAAACTCAAAATCAAACCCAAACCCTAAACCTCATCCTCCGTTCTCCCACTGCCGGAGAAAAACACACAGTACAAAAAGGCTCTGCAGCGAGACCAAGCTTCAGCCTCGACCATGCGCTCATAGGAGAGACCGAGGTCGAAACCTGAAATGACACCGGGCTTTCCCAGGGTTTCTGATAGGATTGTACTTAGAGGTTCATGGGTAGTTATAAATGGAGCTATAAGTCCCGTAATATGGGTGATTATAACCACCCATGAACCTCCAAGTATGGGGATTTAGCAGTGTCTCTTATAGTGATTCAATGGGCTTCGGTACTGTTCTACTGATGGCTGGTCTACGGGTTGCACATGGCTGCTATTGTGGTTTACATGATTCAAACAACGGTTGGTGGCTTCAAACAGGTTTCAGATTAAAGCATTGGGGGATATTGGGGGGGGCTTGTATTTGACACCTCTCTCAAGAGTCGAGATTAAACAATCCCTCTTCCATCTGTCTTGCCGCAAACTCCTCTATGACCGACGCCAGCCAGCTTGGGTGGGTCCAAGGGTTTGCGGGGGTTTGGGGCTCAGGCGATTAGAGATCATGGCCTTCGGTCGAGACTCAGTTTTGCGTTTCGTGGTCCTGTGCCCAAGCAAAAGTGGTGACGACAGAAAACCGTCCGCATTGCAACTGCACGATGAAGTAGGGACTAGTTTGGGCTGTGGCGAGAGCTTGCTTTGGGCTTCATCGACTTTTTCGTGAGTCTTGTGCAGCTCCCCCACACCACATCGGAAACTACGTGATTGTAGCCCAGGCGACGCGAGTTGCCCGTACTTGCCTCAAACCCAGAGACTCCAATATCCGGGGCGCGGGCAGAAAGACCGCCGGGCATTGGATGCTACGAAGGCCTTGGGGTGGGTAGCATAAGGGCTTTTATGATCGTAGCATGGGAGCGCTAATATGGAAATAGCACACAGCTTTACAAGTGCCTTGCACCAGTTCTGTTATTTGTCTAACGTCTGCATGCGGTTCGATAAAGCTTCCTTCATACGGTTGTCGGACAAGAAGGACGCTAGAACATGCAATGATGGTATATGTAAGCCCATTCAAAATTATTTACTATTATGGTTCTCTACAAAATATTATATAGGGGAAATTTAAAAAGATCCCAAAGGACAACCCAGATATTCCTTTTCGAGGAACGTGCCCATCAGCACTAAGTCAGTCGGGGTCCAGGGTCCAGGCACTGAGCTCCCATGGTTCGGCTCGCTTTTCAATTTGAATTTGTGTGGGGTAGGATTTCAAGTCTAATTTAGGCATGTTGCGGGGTTTCAAGTTTTTGTCCCCCCCTCTCGCTGGGTCTTGGGAGGTCTAGGCTTCGGGGTTGAGGTCCGAGGGTTCGGGGGTTTTGGACTGATGGTTTCGGGGTTTGGGGCTTTTTTGGTAACACTCACACTCGGGCAATGCCAGGCGAGGTCTGTAGACGACTCATGAGAGATTAGGCATACAGGATTGCCCCAAGCTTTGGGGTTTACAGTTTTAAAGCTTAGGGCTTTAGGTTTGTAGAATTTGTTCTGCGGTTTAAGGTTTAGGTACCCTCTTCCTCCAACTCGAAACCCCCACCCCCCCTCCCTCCCGACCCTTCGTTTCGCAGGGTCCTCCATGATGGCCACCCACAAGCAGTGGTCGGACTTGCTGCCACCCTGCCCTTTGAGAGCCTCCCGATGCGCGACGCGACAATCGGGACTCAGGGCTTCGGGTGTTGAGGGCTGCAGGGTGAGGGTTAGGGTTTAGGGTTTAGGGGTTTAGGGTTTTAGTTCAGGTTTATTCGCTCATGGCTTAGAGTGTTGGGCTTTCGAGTCTCGAGTGGAGCTTCACGGCACACTTGCAGTTGCGTTTCGACCTAGAATCGAGTGCAATGTTGCTTTGTGGTGCGGGTGGGGGGGGTAAGGGTTTCATGTGGAACCCTCGACGGTTCAGCCTAGATACCCTGAGATGCCGAAGCCTTTTTGCATCGTTGTGTTGGGAGCTAACTCTGCTGCGAATGTGTGTCGAAGGAGGAGCCCTGCATCTTTCTTCCACCTTCAATTTGGGGCTGTCGGGGTGTGGTTTAGGCTTGAGGGGTGTGGGGTTTTGAATCCCGAGGCCCGAGACCCAAAGATCCCCAAGCCTTGCGCTTTAGAGCGCCTGCAAGCTAGGGTCTAAGGACAGACTGAAACGACACAATCAGCCGTTTGGCAACGCAGCAACAAAAACAACTACTGCCACTGCTACTGCGACGGTGAGGTGCTACCAGCATCCACATCGAACGTCACGAGAACCTTGAAGAGGCCGTGAAAAGCGCTGAAAGCACCCCAAGAAGAAACCTGTGACACCTGATCGAAACAGAACAATTGGACTGGTCCGGCCTTCGCTCGGAGGGCCTGGCGAGCTGCCTCTTGACTCGGTTTGAAGGCCTCAACAAGCGCAAAGGCTTTAAGGAAGTTCTTAGGCTTACTGGGGGTCCTCAAGTTAAATAGCAAGCACCATCTCCATTTTCTAGCCATGCCACCCTCCCTAGGCCACCCGAAGACCCAAAACCATAACAACCTATGCCTCAACCCTAAACCCATCGAAAGACACGTAGGACAGACCCACCTGAAGACCCCAAACCATAACAACCTATGCCTCAACCCTCAATAAAACCGTTCAACAAAGGCGGGGAGCTTGAAACCGTAACACCTCCAGCACTATACATCATGTTCATGTTCGTTCTTATGGCGCTTGAAAAACTACTATGCGCCGAGTAGTGGCAATCGCTTCACTCGCTACACATGATGTATACTGAATTAAAAGGGTTGTGGGTAAATAAACCACTTGTCCATGATGTGTTGGTCATTGCTTTAATTGCATAGTTGCCTTTTAGTTTGTTCATACTCATTGGTTCATCAATTATATAAGATGGGTCGCTTAATCTTGTATTGTGCCTCACCATCCCTTGTAGTCTTCACCAGTAGGAATTTCAAAACTGAAGGCATTAAGCGTTATAGTTTATTGCGCTTCTTTGGTCGCTGTCAAAAGATGAAGTAAACAAGTCCGCTTGAATATCAACAGCCAAGGCGTTAAGTTTGTGTTATAATATTGCCGACTAATTGAGAAGCGAAGAAGACTTGATTTTTCAACGTCAACCTTACCAAATCTTTCAACTTCACCAGTGCTGGTTTTATACAATATTAAACAAACGTATTGATAAAAACCTTCAAGAGTAGCATAATAACTTTGAGGCATTACTTCATCCGTTACATACATAACGGTATTTGGTAACGTTTCTGGGTTTTCATTGAGCTCAATTATAAAATCACTACTGCTACTACTTTTGGGCAGTAGTTCTCCACTGTCAACAAACACCTCTGAATAAGTCAATTTACGATTTGAAAGCATTATCAACATTTATCAACCAGTGTTAGAAACTTTATTGCTTAATATTATGAAAAATGGCAGGTGTTAATGTCGGCGTCAGAGTAGCAGACATATTAAGAGGGTTACAAACAGCAAGCGCAAGAGGTGGATTAGCAAGAGAGGCAACTAACTATGGGGGGGCGGATTTACCGCCCCGCTACACGAACAATAGCATCTAGAGGACGAGGTGGCGTAACAAGCATTGTTGAAGATGCTTTACAAGGACGAGGAAGAATTAATAATTCAAACACGGGAGCGGGACAGTATTTAGCGTCAGAGGCAGGAAAGGATATCGAGAGAGCAAAGGCAGTGGGAAAGAGAGGAAGAAGCACAACAAGAACTAACAAAAGAAGGTTTAAGACAGAAGAGACCATTAACTAAAGCAGAGGATTTTAAGAATCATTGTAATACATCGGTGTCACGATACGACCCTAAATTCTCAAACACAGGGAAGTTGTAAATGTTGAGAATAAAAACAGCATTGCTGAGGTTCAGGGATTACAAACAACTTACGCTAGAAATACAGGGTTATTCAAACAGGGCAACACGTTACATATTTCAGGCACCGGTGGTAAAACTGGTTTTGGTTCTAAAGTCAAAGATGTTTTCAACGACATATTTTCAATACCTACACACAATGTTCAAATGTCTGAGAAATATGATGGCAGAGTTGGAGAAAAACTCAGGGTCAATCAGGATATAGGTTCAAAGGGCTTTGAGTTAGTATTCCCAGCTTTCTGCTCATGCGAATTAGCAGCAAGGGCCTCAGTTTAGAGTCTAAGATTGTGCATGTGCATGTGCTGACGACGACGCTATGTCAATGTGCTTGTCCAATCGATGTCCGACATCGCTGCAACTGCTGCTGCAACTTTGGTTGACCTTGCCTTGAACTTGTACTGGGATGCTGTACGTTTGACTTGTAGCGACGGTGTGGGCAGCAAGAGCAAGTAAACATGCGTAAACCCCACAAAACCTAAAAGGCCCTTTTGAGCAAGGAACTGCACTGCGTTAACTCACTAAGCGTTTTCACCTAAGCTCCAGGCGCCAGCTCTCGACAAATATGTCTAGACTTATATACATATGTATATATATATATATATACAGAAAGCGTCGCACTGCAGGCCCGAGTTTTGGAGCTTTCCCTTTCTCCATATTGTAAGCTAGGATTGTGCAAGAGTGTTGCATTTATTTGTTTACAGGAAAAATTACTGAACAAAGAAAAATGTTACCTGATTGAAAGCTCCTGTGGGAATAACGGGCCTGGATAGTGTCTGCAACATTAGATAGCCTAAACCAAAGAGCCAAAAGGCCTGGAGTCCGTGGCCCTGGCCCTGGCCTTGCAGCTGGGGGGGGGGGGGGCAAAAAAAAAAAAAAAAAACTAAAAACTTGTTTTTTTTAGTTTTTTTTTTTTTTTTTTTTTAATCTTTTTTTTTTGCACCCCCCCCTCCCCAGTCCAGCCCAGGGACCTCAAAACCTCAAAGTGCAGCCCTTCTGAGGCTAGAGCCAGGCCTACGGACCAAGCCAGCGAATTTCAGTAATTATACAAATCTGTAAAGCCTTCAGGCCTTAGGCCAAGAAACAAGATCATAAATCCACCTAGACTCAGGACCGACGAGAAACCTCATAAAGATCTTCATCTTTATCATCCACCCCTATGAGACATATCAAGATTGCAACATAAGGTTATAGGTATTTTAATAGATATCACCTCTTGCATGATCCATATGTAGAGCTTGTCCATGCATTCCTGGGTATGTTTGTAGATACGTGTGTCTATGTGATCATTCAACTTGACAAGTCGCATGACATCGCATATGTGTTTGTATACATATATATGTATAAACAGAGGAACCATGCATTTAACTGTCGTGAATGTGTGTATATATATATAGTTACACTTAGCATGTATGTCTAAGTATGTTTTTTTATGAATATCATACAACAATGATTAGAACCAGGTCGTTGAAAACTACATTGTTGATGCCATTGTCGGTTCATGTCTAAATACATATGTGTTATCATGTCAGATGTACAGTTTATATATAATATATACATGTATCGATCGATCGAAAACATGTACGATAGTGACAGATGTGCAAGTTGATAGGGATATCTCAACCATCGATTTGGTTTGTATATATATATATATACACACACACTCGAATTTGTTGCGGCCTTAGGGTTTAGAAAGTTGAAGGCTTATGCAACCCCATCACAATGTTGTGCTTTTGGGTGAAACACTCGGTTTTATCATGTTTTTTACTGGGTGATTGAAAATTGCACTATCAGACATGATGCATGCATTCCCCAAAAGATGCATAAGCCCTGATACGAGATGATAGATCACAATCCCAATCGTTCGTTCAGATAACCACGGTTGAAACTGCGGAGCGGATAGGCGGGACCCCCCCCCCCAATCCTATCAGGGATTGCCTTATGCTTTCGAAACCACAGCCTTAGCAGGATATGAATAAGAGCAACGGACAGGTGGCCAAATCTTCATCGTTATGACTAAAGATGATGGACCCAAATTGCGCAGACACAGACAAGATGACAGCAATCAATGAAATAAATGACTCGGAAGACTGGCAAAAGTTCAAAAAGGGCTAGAATGGAGGAGTGGTTCGCAGTGGTTCGAGAAACGAAACTTTCCAAATACAAGTGGACATAGTGGAAGGCTGTCCAAACGGCTAATAATGATTAGATATGATGCAGTTTATGTAAAAATGTTTAACAGATATGTATAAATACATATAGCTCTTAAATTAAGATATGGGAAACGGATGATGCGTCTCAAACACTAACATCACGATTGGGTTCCAGCAATCCACCATATTGGACAAGTTGGTTGGCAAGCCCAAAAAAATTCAGGGAGGTGATGGAATTCAGTTCATCATCCCGAAGAAGGGTAGCAAGTTTGAATGCATGATATATTCTGATCAGGATACATGGGTGGCATGTCCAATATGTTCATCCTTGGCGGCAGACTACGGGTAAAAATCCATAGTCAATCCCACTAGGTCAGAAACACTTTAAACTCCAACAAAAGATGATATGTGGAAATTCAGCAACTTAACACAAACATGGTGGAGAGCCAAGACTAACATCTAATTGTGGCATTTCTGTCCCAACTAACAAGGCATAACTGATGTTACACTAGAACCCTGAAAGATACAGTGAATGCCAAGATCCAGAAATAGATCATAACATCTGACATGTTCCTCAAGCATACCTACTGGGTCTAAAGAAAAATGGAAGGGGTGGCAAACCCGAATATTTCGAATAGGTAACTTAACAGCACAAAATCAAATGTCTGTTGCATAACTGTGTTGGTCAGTTACCATTCAGCATGTTTCTAAACTTGCAGGAGGTTTTGCCATTGTGTTCGATTTTGCTACAGATGAGCCAAAAGTCTTGAGAAGCATGAAGAAGGTACTGAAACTCGCTTATTTCGACTGAAAAACACGGGCCTGCATTCCGACGCACTCTCTATATATATGTATATACATACTGTACACACACACATATACATATACATATACACACATTCTTTATCTGTATGTGTGTATATATATATATATATATATATATATGTGTGTACATATGGTTTTGTATATGTAGATCTACACACGTGCATATACATAATATACTCATACCTTTGCACATTTAACTTTTGCACTTTCATACAGCACCACACAGCCGTCATGAAGTGCAAGGCAAGTTCGAGTCACCTTCGGCATGGGCGAGCGGACGGAAAGCCATCCTGCGATGCCGCACGTAGCAGAGGCGACGCCTGAGATGCCAAATGCGCTTTTCGAGTTTATGGGTCCGGGGTTTTGGGCCTCACTAGGGTTCGGAGTTTGAGAGCTTAAGGTGTTTGGGTCTTGGAACAGACCTCCCGAGCCACATCAGTCCTTAAGCGTTCTCGGACATTCTGACCCCAAGCCAGACCAAAACTGGAACTGCGAAGCCCTTAGGACAGCAGCCCAAGCGTTGGGCAAACCTCAAACTAGGATGCCCAGTAACCTAGGAATAAAAGGGGCTCCCTTTTGGGCATTGGGTATATTCATAAGGAACCTAGGACTACAAAAAGGGAATTCTGGTACTACTGGGCATCCTAACAAAGGGGCTGTTGTGGCGGCTTGAGGCAGCATGTGTGCGGCAAACCCATTCGAAGCGTTTTGAGCTCTGCTCTTAAGATATCATTTGTAAGGTGGTACCTAGGGCCTTGGCCACCTGTGGTTCAACATCAAAGAAAAGCAACTTTCCGACCAACATACCAAAACCTCAGCGCTGATGAGGTAGCCAAGCTAGCATGCAAAACCGTGCCACGAGCAGGACCCAAATGTCGAAAGGTAGTTCGTTGTTGCAGTACCCTGAAAGCCTCCAACCTACATTAGCAAACTGTTCTAGTAACGACACATGAAAAATGCAACAACCACAGCAGCCGTCTACACCGTGCCTAGGTGTGTTTACAAAGTCCTTATAGCCATCCGCCCTAAGCCGGGAACTGCGCTTGGAGATTCAACTGCCGAATGCCCGGCGTACAGCATGCTTACCACATAGGTGGTTGTCGAAATTATGGTCCCTTTTTGGGTCCCTATTGTGATACGACACCTTTTCTTTAGGGTACCCAACAAAAGACCCTAATTTTGACAACTTACCACATGTCCTGGTCCTTCCGCGAGATCTGAACTGCGACCAGAGAGTCCCAAGAAGGCACCCAGCACGACGAGCCTTTGGGTAATGCAGGGGCCTTTAATGATTAGAATGCGTATGGGGGTTCCTTATCATAATGATAGTACTATATACCTATTCTAAGTCTTAAAACCCGTGTATCATAGTACCCTGTAGTAACACTTACATAGAGCGTTTTTTCAGGAAGCCGTATTCCAATTTCTAAGGCCCCAACAATACTGAAGGTTACTGTTCTAGAAGCTTACTCCGGCTTGCCCACGGCCGTTGCGAGCGGGATGCCGAAAAACACTATAGGGCTTCGGATTAGAAAATCCGGTATAGGATGTTTAGGCTGGCCACATCCATCCTGTAGCAACACCTTGCCACAAGGAAACACTGGAGTTATATTGGGTCTCAAAACCTGTTTGAAAGGGCCGTCACCCTCCTAGCGTCCAAAACCCTTTCATGGAAAACCTACATAGATCGGCCCCAGTAAACCGGATCATCAAGAATCCATGAATCCTCTGCGCGCACTCCGGAAACACAGCCCCACGCATCCGTGCCTGCCCACGCGCACATCACAAGGCAGCGCTGCCTGAGCGTGACAAAGTCGCCCTCTGTGCAGGGTTTCAAGAAGGTGGGATGTAGGAGAAGTTCAGAACTTGTTCAGGGGTCTATAATACAGCCTGCAACCGGTTTGACGGGTCTAGGATTTGAGGATTTCGGAGTGCGCAGAAACTCCGAAATCCTCGTTTCTGGAGCCATGCATTCCCTGAAACACTTGTTAGGCAGGATATATTGAGTTTGATTTTCTGGGCACAGGGTTCGCCGTGCTGCTCTGGCAGCACGGGTGGGCTTTCTGGAAAGCTCTACGACAGTTGGTAATGACTGTATTAGTATTGTATATCTGAAGCACTGTACCTTCTGCTTCTATCGCGATTGGAGTGTCGGCCAGACCAACCCCTGATCCTGAAACCCACAGGCAGCGCACCCGAGCTACATAAGTGGAGACGAATATAACATGCTGGTATCCTACATGCGCTATGCGTAGGACCGTCCTCACGGTCGGGTCACGAAGGTCGTGATTGAGACCACCATCTTCAAACAGTATAGCTGCCTGTATTGCTGCAGGGCGTAACACGCTACTTGTTCAAGTGCTTGCGAGTGCTCTGCCACTGTCTGCGATGCTTGCTACATGAATGTTGTTACATCTTCTTCCTGTGCATCCTCATCGCCATGTGGATGTCTTGCCTTATGAACAGAACACTATTGTCTTCGGACAGCTTGGCTGCAAGCCATGTCGTTGTTTCACTTCTTCTACACCGACCCATAATGTGGGTGTCGGTTTAATGGACGGGCCCCCCCCGGCCCCCCCCCCCCCCCCCCCCGACCAAAAATTTGGAACCGGTAACCCCGGACACTGAGTGGCAGGGAATTGGGAGGTGCCGGGGTTTGGGGGGGCTGGCTTGGGTGCAGGGTCTGCGGTTCTGCACGAATGCGCGGTCGGGGGGGGGTCTGGGGATCACCAAATGCTGGAAACCAAGCCCCCATCACTCCAAGATAACTACCAAGACTAAAAACCCTTCATTTTGAACACTTTTGCCTCCAACCTACACTCCCACACTCCCACCCCAATCGACCACGTCTGAAGCTTGGTGCGGTACAATAATGGTACAGTAGTACAATAATAGTACAACAGTAGTACCGTAGTTTTGGAGTCCGGGGGACTGTGGGCGTGCACCTTTTTGTCATCTTTGATGATGCATAAATGTGTCTGCGTGCTTTGCATGCTTGCGGTGAGGCGTAAATGCCAATTCAAGCAAGGACTCAACAGCTTTTGTGATCAAGTGACTGCCTTCCATAGACATTCTTGAGCCATGGTAGATTCCTCTATACCTGGTTTGGTTCGCGAGCTGGGGGACAAGATGGTGCTCTTACGTTCGATGAAGCCGTTGGTCATGTGAACGGTCTAAAACTTCAGGGGCCAGAAACCCGGCCCGTGAAAACAGATCGGCCAGCAGGAAACATTACGGTTGGTGATCTCCCAGTTCGTTTCCTAGACTCGATTTCAGGGAAAGTGGAACAGTTTTGTGACGCCGTCCAACACGTACGGTGGAATATGACACAGGGTTGCTTCGACAACACCATCTACAAGGAGTGCATTCACATCCAACTACAAAGGACTCCCCGAGCCTTTCCGACTAAAACATGAACCGAAGGTGCCGTACACCATGCAAATCGTGATCTTACCAGCCAGTCCACCAGAAGATGCAGCAGCAAACGACGATGGAACCTATATCCACGTCTTCAAACATGTGTACCTTCATAGAAACAAGATGACGGCACGGGAATGTATCGACATGTGTTATGGCATCGCTCTTCGTTTCGACTGGGGGACGCATACAAGGGCAGCACTCATGGCGCTCCATTACATGATCGATGGTATGGGTGGGAAACAAATCCGTTGTTGGTTCGTGCAGCCTAAGTTTGAAAAGAAGGTGACCGTGGATCAATCCGCACGTGATGCCGGGCACAAGTTCATTCGCGACATGGGTCCGAGAGCCAACAACCTCAACCAGTTCATGGAATGGACCGATACACAGATACACACCGTCGGGAGCCCAATCGAAGGCACATTGTACGAATTGATTTTCTTTTCTTTGCAGTCGCAGCAACCCTCACACCCAGTAAAGAAAAGCAAACAAGAACATCAGGGATACGAATAAGATGACAGGTTGGACGGAGGGGAAAGTTGTGACTGCACTCCACAATTACATGAAAGGCCGACAAAATGCTAAAACATTAGAGTATTGGCCATTCACCTTGAGGAGCTTCACGGCATGGTTTTTCGACGACGTGTTGGTTCACATGTTGGGCTCACTCCGTCAACATGCCATTACATGGATTGGTAAAACTCTCGTGGGAAAGTCACTCGGATCCAAGACGGTGTCTTTCTGCCAATCGAAATATGATATTGATGCAGTGGGGCGTGAAGATCTTGTACCATCGATTGTTACGGCCAAGCATTTGGACTTTTTTAAGTCCGAACCGCTCACCAAGCTCAAGCCTGGCATCTTTGATGACGGGATGCTGCAAAAGATGGATTCTTCCTTCTTGAAAGCTTTCCTCAATCCGTCCGTGTCTCAATACCCATAGAAATGTTTGTCGTGATGGTGATGCGCACCAGCTTTTGTAGTATTATTTCAAAAGTTACATGCTTTGCTTATTGGGGGATGTTTGTATATAACACTAATCACGTGCAGCCGCCGCGGACATGGCTTAAGTTTTGATCACATGGTATTTTACATATATTATATTGTATGTATGATTAGAACCGCATATATAAGAAGCACATTGAAAACGTGCTAATGCTATGGAGTCTATGCCAAGGAAGAAGATGCCACAGTTTGGGCTAGATACTCATCCGCTTACTTCCAGCAGGGTGCCGGTCGATAGGCGTGCAACAATCCATATGATCAGAAGTTAGATGAGTCCATGTACCAGGAGATGCAAAGATCTAAAATTTCCGGGATCGCACACAACTCGTTCTTGGAGCTCATCCATCCATCTTTTGAGGGGGTTGACAACATGGAAGACATGGCCGCGATCATTGCGCGCACACACATCATTGTCATCACTGAGAATGGCGTGTATTGGCGTTTGGCGGGGGCGCAGAAATCGAATGTGAAGTTCGAGCCGTGGCCTCCCGGAGAACCCATTGATATCCTCGCCCCATCCCAGAAGCCAATTTTCTTGGCCTACAAAAAGAATCCCTCCAATCACACGCTTCCTCCCAACTTTCACGAAGACATGGTTTGGTCACAGGAAGTTCTGGGCAGGTTGTTTCGAGGAGAACATGTACCCCGTATCATGACGGTGAGAGGGCGTAGTCTATTTGGAGGAGAACCCAACCTTCCCCGACAAATTCCACCCCGCCTGCTCGATGATGGCCAAGCCAAAGCCAAGATCAAAAAGGAACAGGTGTCCACAGTGTTTCGGAGTCTGAAACGGTCAGGCCCAATCCAAATTGAGTTGGACTCCCCAAATCCCCCAAGCAAGCAGCAGCGATATGTCGCTTCACGTGTGCCTTCGTCGATGCCGTCTTCTACTGCTAGGGCTTCTGCAGATGATTTCAGGAACATCCCCAATCCAGAGTTTGCACATCCTAATCTCGGAGATGCTTCAGCAGATGAAGACATCATCCCAGCAGTAGGCGAACGACCAGACGACGACGTGAATATCCAAGTAGGCCGAAAGATGATTTGGAGAGGGATCTCGAAACCATAGTGGAGGAGCAGATTGCCAAGGAGAATGCCGCATACAGTGATGTATCCGGGAAGGACCGTGCAAAACGATGTCTTCAGGAATGTTTGTGGCATCAAAATTCTGCATTGGTTCGGGTTGCCTGTTTCAGTATCGGGTCATGGGCCACATCGTGTGTCTGAGCTGAACGACATGATCAAGAAGTTCCACGTCCAGTTTGTGCCAGTTGTCACAAAGCATGTGGGAGTTGATGGTATGTACCTTTGTCATCAGCATGGTCATTTCACAGGCATTTGGTGCCGAGAGGGCTTCATTCGATATTATGACAATGGCACTGAACATGTCATGAGCATGAGTGGCTTGAACGAGCTGGTGCAATCCCCTGCCGTGTGCATCTTGCGCTTGGTGCAGCGATCTTATGTCAAGCTCCACACGTTCTGTGATGCAGTCGGAGGTTCAGGAGGAGTCTTCAAACGCCCTGCTAGTCGTGATCCCATCCCAGTTTTGACTTGTCCTCTCGTTCGTTGCGTTGCACCGTGATGCAAGGGTTCCCTTATGCCCAAGCACAACATCGAAGCTGTCTGCTACGACATGACCGGTCCCCGAGACATCATGTACCAGTCCAAGGAATGCAGCTCTAGGAATTGCCGGACGAACTACTCGTACAACTTCCGTTGGAGTGAGGGCAAAAAGATCAATGTTCTTCGCTATGATGACATCGCTGACGGCGTGCTCTTCGTCAATGCCAAGAAATGCTTCTCCCTTTCGTTTCTGAAGTATCACGAGGAACTTCTGTTTCGAGGTCAGATATCGACACGAGCGATTGAACATGCCTACAAGACCCTCTACACCAATGAAGACACCGATGGGAAAATCATTGTTGACTTCCGAAAATGCTACCAAAGTGCTCTTTTCTACTTCATCGCGTTGAAGGAGTTTCAAAGTTTGGGTTTGCACATGTCCCTCGTGATCGACGATGAAATCAGCGACTCCAATTTGGAAGTTTACAATGCCTTTTGTCACTCCAGCATCTTTCCACCTTCCAAGCGTGTGAATGTGAAATGTTTAGTAGGGGACGGCCATCTCAGCCTGAAGCCTCGATGTGCTGATGGTCCCATCAAGCGAGCCGGACGTCCGCGCACAAAGTCTAAGGCCAGAAAGTAAGGCTTCATTACACCAGTCAGTTACAAGTCAACGGGTTCAATTTAATGTATAATCGCTCTTCCAGGTGATACTTCAAGACGTGTATGTTGCTCTGCTTATTGGGGGATCAACTATATCTACATGTACATACACTTCTACACACATGCAACTTCCAGGTGATATTTCAAGACGTGTATGTTGCTCTGACCTACAGAACCCTCTTAAGCCCGAGTAGTTAATTAATTAATTAAGCACCATGGCACCAAACCCTACAAAACCCCCCAAACCCTTCTACTTAGGCGCCCAAACCCCGTATTGGGGGATCAACTATATCTACATGTACATACACTTCTACACACATGCAAGAAGCATGCGAATCCTTCCTTGGAGCTGTTTCGCTTAGTGGTGCGTCGATAATCTCTTGATGGGTCTGTTTTATAAACCCATACCTAGAGTATAATGTATATTGACCGAGACAGGCGGCTGCGAAGTGCAGCAATGGATGGTTAATGTGCTGTGAACCTCGTAGTGGTCGTATCTTGTCGCTCACAGTAATGCACGAACCGGAGTGCAACAATCATGTCATTGACGCTGTGGAGAGCATTATATGGTTGTATCCGAAGATGACGACTTTCGTCTATGACCGGGCTTGTGGACTCGTCAAAGCTGCTCGCAAGGTTAAGCCTCTGCAGCAGATCGACAACTACATCGTCGACATGTTCCATGCATACAGACATTCCAAGAAATGCTCGTGCAATCCCCGCAAATTGAATGGAATATTAGTACAAGTTTGCACCTGCTGAGATAAGGCTAGCGGCTAGACCCTATAACCCCATCATACGTCCAAGTGTGCATGCACAAACGAATGCACCAGGAAGTCACAAGAAGTTGGCGAGCATCATCAAGGGCATCAACACAAGCATTTGGGAACAGATTTTCGCATGGTTTAGAAACTTTTCGGCAAACTTCAATGAGCTCAGGGGCAACCGCCACAAGTTCATCATTCTCTATATGGCCAAACGCCACAACGAGGCTGTGGACAAGAAGAACGCCGTGTATCTTCGTCCAACCTTCCGCTCCCGCAAAGTATCCAAGAGCTACAAGTGCAGAAGCCGCAGAAGATGACATCCAAGTCCAAGCGAAAGTTCAGTGTCATGAAAGCCATGAAGAAGTGAGCAGTCGCATCAAGCATGTTTGTAGAGAGCGCAAGTTTTGTATCACTCAGCGCTCAGACGCAGAAGCTAGCACGATGACAACGCGTGACGTCCTGCTCGATCCACTCATTCCGGTTCAGACGGAGCCACAAGAACGTTTTTGTCGCTGCACTCAGCAGTTACGGAATAATTAGTTGGAAGATGTCACAATATCACAATATGAAATGACACCTGTACTCATACATATGTATTTTTCTATATGTGTGTGTGTGTTTACATGTTTACAAGAGCCCTTTCCGTGAGTTGTCCCTCCGCGTAGTGTTGCACCGACCGTGCGTGTGCGCGTTTTCGGCATTTCAAAGCTTGCAGCCAACTCCGGATATGTACAAGAGAAGAATCAAAACAGAATGCACAAATACCAAAAAAACAAAAATACAAAAAAAAAACAAAAATACCAAAAAAAAAAACAAAAATATCAAAACAAAACAAAAATACCAAGAACAACAATTTTCAGGAAGTCCTCCAAAGTGGAAGTTCAGAATCCAAGAGTCCAAGAATTATGGTTGTTTTGTTTTTTTGTATTTTTTGTGTTTTTTTGTTTTTTTGGTATTTGTGCATTCTGTTTTGATTCTTCCGCAGTACGTATTCCGGAGTTGGTTGCAGGCCGTGAAATGACCGAAGACGCGCACGCCCAGGGTCCCCCGTTTTGTAGAAATAATACAGTAGTAGTACAATAGTAGTGCAGTAGTAGTGCAGTAGTAGTGCAATAATAGTACAGTAGTACAATAGTAGCACAGTAGTGGTAGTAGTAGTAGTAGTAGTAGTAGTAGTAGTAGTAGTAGTAGTAGTAGTACAGTAGTAGTACGATAATAGTACCGTAGTACAATAGTAGTACAGTAGTAGTACAGTAGTAGTACAATAATAGTGCAGTACTACAATAGTAATACAACAATAGTACAGTAGTAGTACAATAATAGTACAGTGGTACAGTAGTAGTACAGTAGTAGTAAAGTAGTAGTACAGTAGTAGTACAAGAATAGTACAGTAGTACAATAGTAGTACAGTAGTAGTACAGTAGTAGTACAATAGTAGTACAATAGTAGTACAATAGTAGTACAATAGTAGTACAGTAGTAGTACAGAAGTAGTACAGTAATAGTACAGAAATAGTACCAATAAGCAAAGCATAAAGCCAGTGAGCACATTCCCCCAATAAGCAAAGCATAAAGCCAGCGCCTGAAACCCTAAACCCTAGCAACCTGAACCCTAATCCCTAACAAACGCTAAACCCTAACGAATCCTAAACTCCTAAACCCTAACAAACCCTAAACCCTTCCCAAAGGGGGGTCAGTCCAGATTCTACCCAAAACTGAATTTTTTATACAAACTTTAGTACTGGAGAGGCCTCTTTTGAGCTAGGGTCCAATCCCCGATTCGGCGGTTCACCCTAGCAGCCCCCCCCAATAATCAAGGCATACAGTAGCAGTACAATAGTACAATAGTAGTAAAGTAGTAGTACAGATTCTCATTCCTGACGCCCCAATAAGCGAAACAATTCTGCAAGAGATTTTCAAGCTTCAGGGCCAGGGTTATAGGGTTTGGGTGGGGGTTTAGGTCGTGGCTGCCTTAAGATTGACCATCAGCAAACAGCACAGCCCCGCCCGCAAAAAATCCACCCAGCAAAAAAAAAGCGCATTAATTAGAACACCTAAATTTTTGGTACCGGTTCGGAATTAGCACCGGAGAAAACGCTTTAAAGGGGCCTATATTCCAAAACCGACACCCACATTACAAGGGCTCCTGTTGTTCGAAAGCAAGCAATCTTCTTCTCAATGTTAGACTTGCTATCGTAGTAGGTAGTTTTGCTCTTTGCAAAAAACTTATTCTAGTGATGTATAGACGGATACTCAAGTCTATACGCATGCATGCATGCCTCCACGGATGTGCCTGCCTTGTCCATATGAGTGATTTGCGCAGTTCTGTGTGATTCTACACATATACGGCATACATACTCCACATTGAGACAGAAATGTTGTGGACATACGATGATAGAGGCCGCCGGGATGCCAAGTGTCGGCCCAGGGCGGTAAGCGAAGCTTCGGGCCCTGACGGAGGCAAGGCACGCAAGGGTTTGGGTTTGAGGCTTCGGCTGTCTTCGGCTTGCCAAGGCATTCTTGCGGTTTAGGCGTTCGCAAGCCAAAACCAAAAGCAGCGACAACTGCATGCTCGCGTCCGCACCCCCGTTACTGTCAATGTAACACGTAAGCTCGAAGCTCCGGCAGCGCTCTTCAAGCGAGGCCGCAACAACTGATTCAATCCCTGCCATGCTGTAACCGGAAGAAAACTCACAACGATGTTAGATGTTCTTACCGGCATCCCAAGGCTTTGCGGTTCAGGCTCAAGGGAAGGTTTGCGGCATTCGGCGTTTCGTGGTGGTCTGCCTGCTCTCAGACGGGTGCCCTTCCCAAACCGCGCTCGGCAATCTGAACAGTCTTGCTTCTTTCAAGAATCCTCGCAACCCAAGTCCTATGCAACAAATCCTCAAGCCCTAGACTCTAAAACATCCAAGCCCCAAAACACTCCATCATTGAAACCTCTGACTTCATTCTAAGCTCTACACACCAGGAAGGCCCGAATGTCTGAGAACCAATCGCTACTGCACCCTAACGCCAAATTGTTAATTTTCACGAGGTCTGGTCTAAACCACTTGTTTTGCTTTGAAACTTCTTGGAAATCAAATCCAGGGATGCTCCTGAAACATGCCCCCAAAAAGTTGCGTTATTTCTGAATCCTCATTTATCTTTTAAAAAAAGTAAACTGAAAATTCATTGAGATTTCGCTTCCCCAGAACCCACGGAGCTCGTGAAAATTAACACGCCAAATAACCTACTTGTTAAAGGACTTTTTGCAATGAAACCATATGGGGTGGTGTGAAAACCCCGTGTTCAGTTCCTATACGCTAAATGGCGTTATCGTTTTTTTTTCTTCTTATCGTTTTCCCATGAAAGAAACTCTTACTGAAGTGTAGTACAACTGTAGTATAGGGGACATGGAAACATTCGTATATCGAAGGCAGTGGTTGTGCTTCTTTGGCGTGAAGTAGGTTTAAATATACGGGATATGAAGCTGCAAGCTTAGTCTGGTAGGATTCCGATGGAGACCTTTTCACTCCGCGCTGGAGCTGTGCGTTTCGAATCCGTGCCAAAATGCATTCGCGAGGTTGGTGACGAAGCGGGTTGTGCGTGCTCAAATCGCCGTGAAAAAATCCAACTTGGCCCCATGCTCCTCCCAACCCCGAGTGCGCGGGCCCGAATGCATTTAGAATCCGTGCCGAAATGCATTCGTGATGTTGGTGACGAAGCGGTTCCCAAATCGCCGTGTAACAGCCCAACATACCCCGCACTCCCAAACCCGAGTGCAGGGAGCAAATGCGTTTAGAATCCGTGCCAAAATGCATTCGCGAGGTTGGTGTCGAAGCGGTTGCCCAAAATCGCCGTGTAAACAGTCGACATGCATGCTCCCATGCCCGAGTGCGTGGGCGCAAACGCATTTAGAATCCGTTCCGAAATGCATTCGTTAGGTTGGTGACGAAGCGGTTTGGGATGAGGGTTTGGGGTTAAGGTTTAAGGTTGAAGGTTAAGGGGTAGGGATTCGGGTTTGGGGTTTAGGGTCAAGGATTAAGGTTTAAGGTCAAGGGGTAAGGATTCGGGTTTGGGGCTTAAGGTTAAGGTTTAAGGTTAAGGGGTAGGGATTCAGGTTCGGGGTTCAGGTTTAAGGTTTAAGATGGTTTACGGTTAAGGGCCAGGGATTCGGGTTTGGGGTTTAGGGTTAAGGTTTAAGGTTTGAGGTTCAGGGGCAGGGAACCCGA